GCGAGTAATTTTATCTTTTTATAATACAGTTTTTAATATCAACATATATGAAAATATTTAGCGATAAATGTTGCAGTATAAATTTTCATGCAACCACCTTAAGTTATAAACTTATAATCCAGGCTGGAAAATGTCGTTTTTCGACGATTGTGTAAAATATTATATAAAATATTATATTGTGTAAAATATTAGATTGCGTAAAATATTATATTGTGTAAAATATTATATTTCAAAGTAAAGGGCGGTTTGCTGGGTGGAAAATAGTGCTAACCAAATTATTCATGACGATCACATGATCCTAGAAGTGGGGAATTCCGAGAATTAGTGAGAATGAAACAAGTTTATATAAATTTATGTATCGCAAACCTCCATTCATGGTAGTTTTCGTTAAGTTATGACACCATACTATTTGATTTGATTCCCAAACTAATTCTCTCTCCCAAAGAAGAAATTTGACTTAGGGACTAACCAAATTTAAAATTGATTCTAAACACCAGTGATATCTCAGTAATCGAATCTACATTTTTGGTAAACCACACCAATCCACTTTGACCTAAAAGTATTGACCACCTGCGTAGGCTATAGCATATGAAATAATGAGAGCTTTGCAGGTGCACAAAATGGAGCCGTGAAAAGAATGTATTCTTAAGAAATTCCACCCACTTAATTATTTAATAAATAAACTTCTATCGAAAGATAAATTTATATACCAGTAACATAATTTGTCCACTTCCAAAGCGCCCTTCCATGAATGGCATCTTAATGAAGTCCTTTCGTTTCATTCAAAATACTCGCATCACTAAATCACTTGATTCTAGTAAATATTCATGAATGGTGATTGCAATTTAATTGCCACGTCGACCGCCATCTTGACACACAGCTAACCTAAGACAAGAACTGCGTAGGAGGTCATTATTATCAAAATAAAATTGTAGAATGGTGAATAAAATATCTTTTTTCTGTTTTTATTTCTGCCAAATATTTAGGTGAATTAGATTATAACGTTACGTGCGTACTTGAACAGGAAAGGATTTCTCTCATATTCATTATTATCCTCCAACTATTGAAATAAATCGAATAACACATACCTAATTAAATATTCGTTCACATTCTAGATTTAATATTTATGTATGCTCCGTTGTGTTGTAAACAAGGAAATTTTGAGTCAACTGCTCTGCCTCTGAAAGAAATCAGAAATGTCTTCGTTAAGCGAACGTGATATAAATGCAATGAAAGATGCTATAGATTTGTATGATACTATGGGTGATGGAAAAGTTGATTCTAGTGCTTTAGCTGATATCCTACGAGCGATCGGTGAGAATCCTACAGAAAGCGAAGTTCAGAAATTTCTTGTTCAACTTGATCCTTCTGGAAACAAGCGTATAACCCACGAAGATCTTATACCAATTGCACTTTCTTGCAAGCAAAAATCGAGGAAAGTTAAACCTCAAGAATTCGTTGAATGCCTCCGTGTTTTCGATAAGGATTGCTCTGGGAATATCAGTTGTGCTGAACGTCGACAAGTTTTGACTACATTAGGAGATAAATTGACCATTGAAGACGCCGACATGTTGACAAGTGGCTTGGAACAGAAAGGACAAGTGAATTACGAAGAATTTGTGCGAAGTGTCATGTCTGGTTGAAACCGAAATCGAAACTTCGAAAACAAACGACTAAGCATTGATATTTAAAAACATTTTTAATTATCTGTCATCGGTTTTTATTGACTTAAGTTTAAAACTTTTATATTTTCGTACGTGACGTTAGACAGTTTGCTGGTAATTTATTTGTAACCTTTGCATTCAAACTATGTGTATTAAGGTAAACTAACGTATTTATTCATGTTATATACATTTTTTGTTTAGGCCCCGATGAAAAAATAAACCGCGACGTTATCAGCAGTGGCGAGAATGAAGCGAGGAAAAAGTTCTGCAAAATAAAAACAGCTATTCGTAGAACTGGATTTGCCTTCCAAGTGTTTCTCATGTTGCATTTTCTGCTCTTAAAAAACATTTCTAGTTAAAACCATCATGAAGACACTTGAATCATTGTTGCTTTACTTGCTTCCTATTGGTTTGATGGTTCGCCTTCAAAACCGCTTAAACCAAGCCTATCAAGTTATCGAGGACTGTGATTTAGAAGAGCAAGAAAAGAAAGGATACATCTTCTTCCATATGTACGCCATAAGACGCATGTGTAAATACGTCAAAACAGCACAAGGTTTGAAAATCTTTGGTTACAGCCTTCCAACCTTCCAGGCTTTTATTCTGGCGGCCTTTGGTCCGTTTTTCGGTGTTGTTCTACATGGAATATTTATTCACATCCATGCAAAACAGAAATGAATGACCTCTGAAGATATTCTTTATGAACAACAAAATCTTTTTCAGAAATGGGTAAAGGGGGGTGGAGTGGACTTCCAGTGTCTTGCAAGGGTTATGATTTCTTATATCAAAATCAGATTATATAATTTCTTCTCCAATAGTTAATCCTTCCAATGTCCTCAGACTAAAGCAAAAGTTCATAACGTCCAAAATGGTACAATTAAATTCTCGCATTGAACTCTTAAAAAAAGGAACGTTTAAAGTACGTTGTACTAGTTTTTTGTTTGAATTATTATGTAGTGTTTTTATATGCTTTAGTTAAGGATATTGCAAGAGCGATAAACCCTAGAAATATGTATGTACCTACCACATATGATGCAATTTTTGATTATTAACGTAATTTAAAAGGATAGTTAAGGGTAATTAAGAAGTTTCAGGTGTTTTTGAGATAATTTTTGAAAATAACTGTTAGTGGTTTTACACAAGAGTATGGAGTAAACAGAACTTAATGGTAGCAGCAAATGATTCATTTTAGCAATCCTAATAGGATGGGATAAAGGGAAAGACAAAGAAACAGATTAGTTGGTTTTCAAATAATTATCTTTAGCGAAAATTCATCGTGTTCTTCTGCAGGAATTATTAAAAAAAATGGTTTTATTTTACTCTTTACAGTTTGTTTCTTTGCCCTTCGAATGACTTGCAGTGCATATCATTTTGTTGGAAAAATAGCAGTTAATATAAATAGAAGCTACATGCACACTTTAGCTTGATTCAATTCAACTGTATCGACTTGCCAATTTGACTTCACCAGATCCAGATATATGGATAAAACATTAGTCACATGACATTCTTCTATGTAAACGATATCATATCGATGTTAAAGAATACGATAGACAATTAGATATGTTAAATATGACTTGACCACATACCCACTGCAATGTTGTTTTTAATAAGTCAAATGGAACTGTTATTCAATGTATATTTCATTCCCCATTTGATAAATGTGCCAGAAAATGAGAAAAGATAATTTGACAAAAATACGTTGTAAGACAAAGTAACATATTGTTCCTGCTTGTCTATGACTTTAGGTTTAAAAACCATAGAGGGCCAAACTGCGATATCCAAGTTGATTTTGATAAATAAGAAAGAAAGAGTCTTGCCATGAAACAACAAATCCATCACAAGTCACAGTTTTTTATAATTTATTGTACGAACATTTTACTTGCTAAAACTTACATATTACTGGAAGTCGTTTGAGAAGTTCCTTTCTCTTAAATTTATTCTTAAGTTTATCATACATTACATTACAGATGTAAATTTTTTTGGGTCTAAGGACATGAGAGTAGAAAACATTGAGGTGTAAAATAATCTCTAAACATGAAAGAAGATGCCGCTACTATACTGGGGAAATGCCAGTAAATTTGATGATCAATTTTCACATGTTTTATACTTGTTGCGAGGTATGTCATTTTGTACGTTTTATGTAAATTTTCGTGAATTAAAAATACTGTGAAAAGTCCCAAATGGATTGCCAGCTGATGAAAAAATCATTTTACACCTTAATGATTTCTTCCTCTAAATTGTTTTCATCAGTTACCATGTTGGGGCAAAATTCCATACAGTGAAAAGAATTTCTGCTAATTTTATGCTTTGCTGAGCTTCGACACTCTCATGTACTCTCCCAACATGGCTTATATGACGTCAAAAGAAAACACACTATAGCTACGGTTGAATGAAAACAGCCCCAAACATTAAATATTTGTTAAAATTGCGTATATATTATTACCAAACAGCGATTTTGTGCACGTTATGATGACAAATTTCCATATTGCATTGAAAAGCGTATTTCGAAAAACATTTATCAAACGCTGACACTTGCTGGCATGGTGACCATGTTTAATTTAAATACATATGCATATTTTAAGCTGACAGTCGTTTCAAAACTACCGATGGATGTTATTTATTCATCACGGCATAAATGCTTTTCGAACAACATTATTATTCTAAAATCATTACTTAATAGAAATTTGTACAACATTATTCCAAAATAGGTGGCAGGAGCCTACTTTGAAATACTTTACCACAAAATTCGTTTTCTAAGTCAGAGAGCGAGGGAACTCTCTGACTTAGTAAGAACACGCCGAATTCAACAGAGTATATATGCTCTCTCAAAATCCAAGATTTCTTAAAAATCTAAAAGATAGCCAAAGAACAAATTAGCGACACAATTAAAACAAACACATAAACCTGAAAAAAGACTGAAGTCACTAAGCTACAAGTCAGTGAAACAAATAAAAAAAATTTTATACCTCATCTTGTTTTTCATCTTGTTCTCCATCAGCATGCTTCCCGTCTCTCCGTCAGCATCCTCTTCGTCGCTCCATCAGCATCCTCCTCGAAACGCCATCAGCATCCTCCTCGTAGCACCATCAGCATCCTCCTCGTAGCACCATCAGCATCCTCCTCGTAGCACCATCAGCATCCTCCTCGTAGCGCCATCAGCATCCTCCTCGTAGCTCCATCAGCATCCTCCTCGTAGCGCCATCAGCATCCTCCTCGTAGGACCATCAGCATCCTCCTCGCAGGACCATCAGCATCCTCCTCGCAGGACCATCAGCATCCTCCTCGCAGGACCATCAGCATCCTCCTCGCAGGACCATCAGCATCCTCCTCGCAGCACCATCAGCATCCTCCTCGTAGCTCCGTCAGCATCTTCCTCGTCTCTCCGTCAGCATCCTCTTCTTTTCATCAGCCTCCTCCTCATCTAAACGAAAATCTAAAACAAGTTAAGATTAGGACAGGAAAAATAATAACGTACTCCTCTATCTTCTTCTTGATCTTCATCTCTTGTACCTAAAAAGACTGAAGAAGAAGTTATTTGTTTGATGGAAACAAACAATTGTAAGCACCCACCACTGCCAGGGTTCGCGTTCTTTCACTGTCCGTACGCTCGACATGTCTATAAAATGCAACAACAATATCATGGCAAGTGATTATGGAGATCGTGCTTTCGCATTGTAATAGTTTTATCATGCTAAAACATTGATATCCATGACTGTACATGATTGAACATGTATGTTAAGTGAACAACTCTTTGAAGATTATAAGACTCGCGGAAAGCTTATCGTTTGAACCGTGCATTGTGTTATAACACCCTCAATGTTATAACACATGCAGTGTTCTGTAACATTGTCAAACGATTTATTACATGCGATATAATTCAAAATACCTAGATAAAAACAAGATAATTAACGAATGTCTCATGCAATATATTCTCTGCTCAACTCTTTTCGATTTCATCCAAAAGGTTGTTTAATTATTTCGGTAAGGCACTAAGGTTTATAAAAGATTTTGCAACACTCTGCCCGCATGTTGCAATATCAAATGAATTAACTTAATTACCTCAATTATATATTACAGAATATACAATTCTGTAATATATAATTGAGAATTGTTTAAATTCCTCGTCTCTTCATGTGCATCCTTCTCGTTTCTTCATGTGCATCCTTCTCGTCTCTTCATGTGCATCCTTCTCGTCTTTCCATCTGCATCTTCCTTGTCTTTCTATCTGCATCCTCCTCGTCTTTCCATCTCCTCCTCTTCTTTCCATCTGCATCCTCCTCTTCTTTCCATCTGCATCCTTTCTCGCCTTCCATCTGAATCCTTCTCGTCTCTTCATGTGCATCCTTCTCGTCTCTCCATCTGCATCTTCCTTGTCTTTCCATCTGCATCCTTCTCGTCTTTCCATCTGCATCCTTTCCATCTTCTTCCATCTTCCTTTCGATCTTTCCATCTTCATCTTTCCATCTTTCATCCTTTCCATCCCATCCTTTCCTTCCTCCATCTTCTTCCATCGATCCTTCTCCTCTTCATCTTCATCCTTCTTCTCTTCATCCATCCTCCTCGTCTTTCCATCCATCCTCCTTGTCTCTTCATCCATCCTCCTCGTCTCTTCATCTGCATCCTTCTTGTCTCTTCATCTGCATCCTCCTCGTCTTTCCATCTGCATCCTCCTTGTCTTTCATCTGCATCCTCCTCGTCTTTCCATCTGCATCCTCCTTGTCTATTCATCTGCATCCTCCTCGTCTCTTCATCTGCATCCTTCTTGTCTCTTCATCTGCATCCTCCTCGTCTTTCCATCTGCATCCTTCTCGTCTCTTCATCTGCATCCTCCTCGTCTTTCCATCTGCATCCTCCTTGTCTCTCCATCTGCATCCTCCTTGTATCTTCATCTGCATCCTCCTCATCTTAACGAAACATCTAAAAATCAAGTTAAGATTATGACAGGAAAAAAATAACATACTTCTCTATCTTCTTCTTGATCATCGTCTCTAGTGCTTAAAACTAGACTGAAGAAGAAGTTATTTGTTTGATGGAAGCAAACAATTGTAAGCACATACCACTGTTATGGTTCGTGTTTTTCATTGTCCGTAAGCCCGACATGTCCACATAAATGCAACAAAAATTGTTGAATGAAAATCATAGCAAGTGATTATGGAGATCGTGCTTTCACATTGTTATAGTTCTATCATGCTAAAACATCGATATCCATGACTGTACATGATTGAACATGTATGTTAAGTGAACAACTCTTTGAAGATTATAACACTCGCGGAAAGCTTATCGTTTGAACCTTGCATTGTGCTGTAACACCCCTCAATGTTACAACACATGCAGTGTTCTGTAACATTGTCAAACGATTTATTACATGCGATATAATTCAAAATACCTAGATAAAAACAAGATAATTAACGAATGTCTCATGCAATATATTCTCTACTCAAATCTTGTCGATTTCATCCAAAAGGTTGTTTGATTATTACGGTAAGGCACTAAGGTTAATAAAAGACTATCGAGTTTAAAGATTTTGCAACATTCTGCCCGCATGTTGCAATATCAAATGACTTACCTCAATTATATATTAATATACAAATATTCTATGATATATAATCGAGATAATTCACTCCTTCTCTTCATCTGCATCCTCCTCTTCATCTGCATCCTCGTCGTCTCTTCATCGGTATCCTCTCCTCTTCATCTGCATCCTCTCTCCATCTGCATCCTCCTCGTCTCTTCATCTGCATACTCTCTCTCCATCTGCATCCTCCTCTCTTCATCGGTATCCTCCTCTCTTCATCTGCATCCTTCTCCTCTCTTCATCGGCATCTTCGTCTCTTCATCTGCATCCTCCTCGTTTCTGCATTAGCATCCTCCTCATCTAAACGAAGTACCTAAAAATCAAGTTACGATTATGACAGGAAAAAAGTAACATACTTCTCTATATCCTTCTTGATCCTCCTTGTCCGTTCTTGATCCTCTTGTCCATTCATTTTCATCCTCCTCGTCCCTTCATCTGCATCCTCCTTTTCTCTTTATCTGCATCCTCGTCTCTTCATCTGCATCCTCCTTTTCTCTTCATCTGCATCCTCGTCTCTTCATCTGCATCCTTCTTGTCTCTCCGTCAGCATCCTCCTCTACTTTTCATCAGCCTCCTCCTCATCTAAACGAAAAATCTAAAAACAAGTTAAGATAAGGACAGGAAAAATAATAACGTACTCCTCTATCTTCTTCCTGATCTTCATCTCTTGTACCTAAAAAAAGACTGAAGAAGGAGTTATTTGTTTAATGGAAACAAACAATTGTTTAGCACATACCACTGCCAGAGTTCGCGTTCTTTCACTGTCCGTACGCTCGACACTGTACATGACTGAACATGTATGTTAAGTGAACAACTCTTTGAAGATTATAAGACTCGCGGAAAGCTTATCGTTTGAACCGTGCATTGTGCTGTAACACCCTCAATGTTATAACACATGCAGTGTTCTGTAACATTGTCAAACGATTTATTACATGCGATATAATTCAAAATACCTAGATAAAAACAAGATAATTAACGAATGTCTCATGCAATATATTCTCTGCTCGATTTCATTGAAAAGGTTGTTTAATTATTACGGTAAGGTACGAAGGTTTATAAAACATCATCGCATTTGAAGATTCAGCAACATTTTGCCCCATGTTGCAATATCTTGTATACTCTATAATATATATTTGAGGTAATTCATTTGAACGTTTCTCAAGTGAATTACCCACTTTATCTCACCTACTATAACATCACTTGATGCTACAGTAGTTCCTCTCAGGAGCAGGGACGGATTAACCAAAGGAAGCTGTCTAGAAGCCTCCACAAACAAGGGCCTTCACATTATTCAAAGGAAGAATAAACATAGTTGCTTTAAAGACGAAGGAAAAGCATTTAGTTTATTTGTTGGATCAATTTCAGCTGATGAAGAACAGACCACGTATGACAACGAATCACAGTAAACTCAGCCATTTTGCTCTGATGAGCATTGAGGACAATATTCTAACAGAAATAAACTTGGAAGAACTTATCAAAGACTGCCAGAATAAAATCGCAATAACTACTTTATCTCAAGTAGCAGCATTCACTCGTCGTATGCAACCGCTTTACACGCTATATTCGAAGTTTATACTTTTATCAAATGCTTTACGAAATTTGAAAGTAAATTTTACTGTTGAAAAATGAGCAGCACATTGCGTTTAGAGTAAGGGAAAGGGATCTTTACTACGTATTTTGCTGCTCAGAGCCTCCACACATCTTAATCCGGCCCTGCTCGGGAGACATAAAATATTATATCCTTTTGTCACAAAGACAAAGGATTGAACTACTATTTCTAACAATGGCCAGTTGTTAGAAATAGGCAAAATGCAAAATCATCACACTTATGTGAATGATAACGATGAATGCAAAAATGAAAATATTTTCTGGACATGTATTGAAGAGGTCCAATAATTGATGTCAAGAATAGTGGGAAACTTTTGGCAGTTTCGTTCGTGTTCTCACTTCAATATGTAACTGAAACTTGACGGCATTTTGTGCTCCAAGATCGAAACATAGAAATACTAAGAAACCAAAGAAATCGATCATTCCTTCGAACAAATAGGACTCATAACGATGCTTTGAATATGCTGTAACGAGAATTCACATCACAATTGGGTTATACATTTTAATTCATCGATCTCAAACTTACATCTTTATGTCATCGACGATTTTTCTGTATTTAACCTGCCGCTTTCAAACATGGCTAAAATATCTCAACCGTGTCATGTCTTCAGTTGCTCGTCCTTTCCAACAAGTAGTCGCATTTCTTGAAGGCTGTCTTCGACTTTCAACAGACTTTCACCTTTCCCAGACGAACAGCTCGGTCAAATAGGGTTATCGAAGTGAAAGACCCTACTTTTCTTCTGATAACTTTCATATATCACATGAATTAATTATTAATTCATTCGTCAATTTTGTTCAAACCATGATAAAAAGGGATTAAATTCATTGATTGCATGAAAATATATGCAGGGCAAAGACAAAAGGAATTAAGCCTGGTTATAAGTTAACTAACGACATTGGTTAGTAAAAGAAAGCAAAGCCTTTTCCCCAGAGGTTTGGAGAAAACAAAAGAATATTTCTTTTGTTTCCTCAATGAAGAGTTTGCGAAATCAATGATTGTAAGGTTATGACGGCAGACAGAGCATGTCGTGTTGTGGTAAATTTTATCTAGTATGAACAAAAAATTATCTCACCCAAAACCGCAATTCAATGCACCATAGCTAGGAGAGTTATCATTTTTCTCCCACCTGACCACCTTTATTCAACTTGTTACGTCAACAAATAAATTAGAAGGCATATCAAAAGCTTGTAATTTATTCACGTGGGAATCACCCACATGTTATAGAAAAGCTTTTGTCGTGCTCAATACTTATTATGAACATTGGAGCCCTGCTTATTGCAATAATATGACTTGCCATTGTAAAATGTAATGTAATAATTTAACGAGAGAATTTTATTGACAGAACTAAATGGTAGCAAGTGATTCATTTTAGCAATCCTAATAGGATGGGACAAAGGGAAAGAATGAGAGGTAAGTTCGTTTTCAAATAATTATCTTTAGCGATGTAACGATAGCAGGACTTTCAAATGCGGTAAATGTTTTGTGGGAAAAGCGCGATTGTTTCTTTTCCGTGGTTGTAATCCTTAAAATTACATTATTAACAGTAAAACTGAACAAATTGAAAGTTATCTTTTTCCTCTTATATTCCTTGTTCAACGAGTTCATTTCCTTGATCAAACCATGATGAAAATTTATCCAATCACATTT